CAAGTATAAAATGGGCGTACGATGTGAGTGGGCTTCTCAGAGAAGATAGATGAGCCAACAGGTGCAAGAAAAGATGCTGAAATCCTAGCCATCAGGGAAATGCAAATCAAAACCAGAATCAGATACCATCATACATCTAGCAAAGGGTGCTGCTGATAATGAGTGTCAGTAAGGACGGAAGGCGATCAGAAAGCCCCAACGCTGCCAATGAGATGTACTACAGTGCAGCTACTTTGAAAACAGCCTGGTAGTTTTGCAAAAACTAAAGGTAAGAGTCACCATATGACTCACAAGTTCCACAAATATGGACATACTAAAGAAAATTAGAGCATGTCCACATAAAAACTCAAATACAAATGTTTACAGCGCTATTATCAGAATATTCAAAAACTGGAAATCACCCAGATCTCCATCACCTGATTTACAGATAAATAAAAACTTCAACTCCCTTAACAGAATGTTATTTGGTAAGAAAGAAATGGAGTACTGATACATGGTATGAGTCTTAAAATATGACTGAGTCTTAAAATCATGCTAACTAAAGGATGCCACACATAAAGAATGACACATTATATGATACCATTGATACAAAATGTCCATAAAACAAATCTAAGAGATGGAGTGCAGTGACCTGAGAGAGGGGAAGATACTGGGGGAAAAGAGGTTTCAGTATGGAGTGATGAAATGTTCTAAAGTTTATTTTGGTGATGGTGTACAAATCTTTGACTTTATTAAAAATACTGAATCTATACTTCAAGTGGGTGCATTATATGTTATATGTATATATTAATAAGACTGTTTAGAAAACAAGTGAAAATACTGCAGTGCAATAGGATGTCAGATTAGACACACCACCAAAGGCCTAAAGGATACAAGTAGGCTCCCTATAATACATTCACTTAATCTACCACACAAGCAAACTCAACCAAGTCACAGTCTGATGCCTGCTAGTTTCTGAACAAAGCTGTATTTCCCTGGGACAGTTGCTGTGTTGGAAGAGTTCACTTTGTAGACTTGAACCTCTAACTCCACAGAAGCAAGAATTGCAGGGATAGAAAGCACAAAGTTTTCCACTGGACTGTTACTGAAAATAGCAAACTGGGCCTCTTCTACTTCTTTGTTCCTGGACCCATGTGTCATTGAGAACAAAACTTCATATTGAAGTCTTTGATTTAATGGATCAATGACACCCCCATGATATTCCATGTTTGCAGAGAGCTGGTTCATCGTGGTCCTCCAGCTGTATCCTTTGCAGGCCATTTCAGAGTTCTGTGAGGCTCTTCCTCCTGATGGTGGGATAGGATGTGACCAACAGAGATGCTGTGTCACAGGGTATCCTGTACCTCTGTCCACTGAGGTCCTGGAAGGATGAATTGTTGAGTATATTTCCATCTCTTTGGATCATCCATTCTAAAGCCCCCCAGAAAGGCAGACACACTCCCAGGTGAAGAAGTTCTCCATGTGTGGGCAAATTACTAGCCTTTCAGAATGGATGGGACTTGATTTCATGAACTTAGAGTTTAGGTGAGGAAGATTAATGACGTAGAGTTTTATTTTCTTATAAAGTCACTGTCAGGTTTTTTGTTATCAGAGTATTGCTAGCTTCATAAATAAACTGGGACATGTTCCCTTCTCTTCTGTTTTTGGTATGTCATTGTGTACAACTTAAATTATTAACTGCTTAAATGTATGGCAGAATTCAACTGTAGAATTATCTGGGCTTGAGGTGTTCTTTGTTGATTTTTTAACTTCATATTCAATTTCTTTAAGAGTTATAGGACTATTCACATAATCTATTTCCTTTTAAGTGAGCTCTGGTAGTGGGTGTCTTTATTGCATTTCCTCTACATTAATGAGTTTATAGAGACAGAGGTGGTTATCCTACTCCTTCTTATTCATTTTGATGTCTACACTTCAGTAATGATGCCACTTTCTAGTTCTCATTGTGAAAGTTTAGGTTAATGATTAAGGAACTTTCTTATTTCTACACATTTTCCTTTACACATTGCATTAGCTGCAAACCTACATATTTTGATTTTGTATTTTTATTTCATTCTGCTAAAATGTTTTCTGATTCTCCTTGAGAATTCTTATTTGACCCATGAATTATTCAGAACTATGTTAACTTCCAAATATTTAGGTTGGGGGTGGTAGCACAAACCAGTAACCCTAGTACTCCGTAGGCTGGGACAGGAGGATTGCTGCGAGTTTGAGGCCAGGCTGGGATACATAGTGAGTCCAAGGCCTGCTTGAACTGCTTTGCAATACTGTCTCAAAAAGACAACAACAACAACAACAACAAACTACAATAAATATTTAGGGATTTTTTTCAACATAGATTTCTGTTACTGATTATCACTTTAGTTCTAGTAGTGTTAGAGACTAATTTTCATGATTTCTACTCTTTAAAATTTTTTAAGGTTTGGGTTATGGACAGATTATTCTGTAAATATTCCACTTGAAAAGATAACATTCAATTGTTATTGGATGGAAAATCCACAGATACCAATTGGGTAAAATCAGTAGTGTTGTAAGGACTTCAGTATCTTCACTGAATTTTAGTCTACCTGTTCTACCAGTTCATGAGAAACAGAAGAGTTTTGAATTCTGCAGGTATAATAACATATTGGCCTATTTTTAATTTTTATTATATCAATTATTGCTTTCTGTATCTTGAAACTTCATTGTTAGGTATGTACATGGTTGAATTGTAACTTTGAGGGACTGATCCTTCTTATCGTTTTTCAAGCCCCTTGTCTATCCTTCATAAGCCTCCTTATTGTGAAACCTACTTTGGTTTTAATACAGGTACTACATTTTCTTTTGATTGCTTTTTGCATGGTATCTTTTTCACTTTAACCTAGGTATTCCATTATATCTAGGTTTCTTCCTTTTTTCCAGATTTTTGAGGTATAATTATCAATTACATATGATTTGATTTAATGGACCAACAATAATTAGCTCATGATGTATACATGATGATTTGGTATATGCATACTTTGTGAAATAATTACAATAAAATGAACAATCCATTACCACACAGTTAAACATTCTGTGTGCATATGTGTGGACACTTAAAATCCACTCTTAACAAATCTCAACCAAACAATACAGAATTTTAGCTGTAGGCTCCATGCTACAATTAGATACCCCAGAACACTTTCCTCTCATAACTGACAGCTTGGACCTGTTGATTAACATTCCTCTATCTCCCTCACTGCCCGTTCCCCTGCTTTCCAATTGGTTACAGCATCAGTAAGCCTGATACCCTATCACTATTTCATGCCTACAACTGATCATGGTTTTTTTTTTTAAATCTTGCAAAAACAGCAAACACCTCTAATATAATAAATAATAAAAACTTAACCACATTTAATGGAGACATGTTAGATCCAGTCCCAAAACTGGCAACAAAACAAATATTAATCCATTGCTATTTGGACTATTTGACATGGGCAAGCCAATGATAGCAGAAAATAAGAAACGTAGGGTGCACAAAGAAAACTTCAATACACTGAAATACATATATTTCTGAGTAAAATGCAATAAGATAGGCAACAATAATTCTAAATGAATAAATAAAAATCTCAACCATTTAGAAAGACTTTCAAGTTCTCTAATGCACACACATACCAAAGCAGCTACCAAATCAGATATCACCAAGCCTGGAGTTTATTCTGGTGAGTAAGCAAAACTGATATTAGATTCATTTTTCTCCATATGACTATCCAATTAACTGACTACCATATTCTCAAGAATCCACAGTTTCCAGACTAATTTAAAGTGCCGTCTGTATGGCATGCTAAGCAGAGCACAGAGGAGATTGTCCTCTAACCAAACCGGAGCAACCTTGGTGCTGACAACTAGCTCAGCAACAGCTTCTCTGCCTAGCTTCTGCAATGTCTTCCCTTTGTTAAAAATGAACAAAACAAAACAAATCACAATCTTCAAATGTAGAACAGATGAGTGGCTGCTTTCTTCCAGAATGGGATCAGGTGTGGCACTCCCTGTGCCAAGTCATGTAGGCCAGGAGCTGGAGGGGGAACCTGGATAATGAGCTGGGCGCAGGGGAAGCAGAGGCCAAAATTTCTTAAGATGCTATGTCTTAGGTGGACTGAGAAAGAAAGGCATCAACGACTGAAGAAGAAAACACCAGGCCAGGGTTATAGCTAAGAGGCATGTCGCCTGCCTGTCAACCGCTGTCCTGAGTTTGATTCCCAGGTGCCACAAAAAAAAAAAAAAAAAAAAAAAAGAAAGAAAGAAAGAAAGAAAGGAAGGAAGGAAGGAAGGAAAGAAGGGAGGGCAAGCAAGCCCCCAAGGAAAAACTTTTTAAGGGCAATACAGTGGGACAAGTCCAGGGGGAGGAAGAATGGGCTCTGGCATTCATGAGACAGCCATGAGGTTTGAGGGCCTCCCTCAAGGGGCCTGAGTGCTGCTGCCAAGTGACTGCTCTGTGGCCCAGTGAGGAGGGGAGGGCAGAAGTGATAAGGTCAAGTGAGGGCTAAGAGCAAGATGCATCACATGCTGCTGGCCCCACAGCTCCTGGCTGGGCCAGCCTGTTCAATACGTGATTTAAGACACAACTATCATACCACCAGAGTGAGAACAGAATCTGCTACATTGGAACGCGAATACCAAAACTCCCTGAATCAGCGGTGATCATCCTATGGCGGGTGTGCCGCAGTGAGCTATCTGTATCATTGAAAGCTCTAAGTTTGCCATTCTGCTGTGAATTGGTTTCGTGTATTAGAAGGAAAATAATTCCAGTTTTATAGTTCTTTTGCCTTTCTACCTCTTCCATTGGTTCCCACAAGACTGAGTTTCAGGACCATGTTGTGACAGGAACAACTTACTTTAACTATTTAAACAATTTTTTAAACACTAGGTATATTCTAAGACACATTTAAGTATTATAAATGAGAACTTGAGAACTTACAATTCTAACCTATGAAGAAAAAAAAGGTTTTTTTTTATTGTAATAAAATAAAGTGCAGACTTACTCTGAATAGTATTTCTTCATTCCACTTTGGATTCAAAGACTACAAGATAAACATAGTATAATTAATTTTTAGATGTTTTGTTATATCAAAATACAACAAAGTTCATTAAAATAGTTTTGAATACTGATAAATCTAACCTTTTTAATGGTTTTCGTTTGCACGCTGGTAAAAACTCCATTCATTGGGTCATACAAGGTCACTCTCACATAAGGATCACTGTTAAAATTTAGAAAAAGGAAATGTTTAATTGTGGTTTGGCCACTCCAGATTACTGAAACTATCAGTCAAGAATTTTCCTCATTAACAATTTCTACAATTATTTTATACACTTAAAACATCAAGGTAGTATATGCAGGGCAAGCCATTATAGTTTTACATCTTACGAAAAAGCTTAAATATGTTAGTATAATAAAGAAAAGAAAAAATCTTTTAGTCATAGGTCTAATGACATAAACTTTTTAGATTTTTAAAATTGTTTATATTTTTTAAAATTTTATTTAAAGAAAGACTAAACAATTCAGAAAATGGGTAGAAATAATACATACGTTCAGAGAAAAAAATGAGCAGTAAGAAATTACTAGTTGATGTTTACATACTGTCCTTTTACAAATAGTTGTGCAAGATACAAAAGTGAAACATACAAAGTAGGAATTCAAACAGCTAGACTGCAAACAGTTCTGTTCAACTATCCAACAAAAACTTAGTAATATGGTTGTCAATCCTATATACTTAAACATACATGCAGTTATCCACATCTTCATTTATGTTGAGATTAAACAAACTAAAGCAGGCCAAAGTCATTCTGAACAAAGAATAATATTATTGCTGGGTTTCACATCGTGACACTCTAGGATCAGCACTGGGTACTGTAGTGTCTTTTTTTAAAAAATTTAATTTAAAGAAAGACTAAACAAAACAGAAAACGGGTAAATACATACTTTCAAAGAAAAAAATAAACAGAAAGCAATCACTAGTTGATGATTACAGATTGTCCTTCTTACAAATAGTTATTCAAGATCCTAAAGTGAAGCATATAAAGTGGGGATTCAAACAGTGAGACAGCAACCAGTTCTGTTCAACTATCAACAAAAACTTAGAAATATGGTTATCAATCCTATTGACTTAAAGACATATGCAGTTATCTATATCATCAATTATGTTGAGATTGAATAAACCCAAGCAGTCTAATATCACTCTGAACAAAGAATAATACTATTGCTGGGTTTCACATTATGACACTCCAGGATGAGCACTGGGTATTTTAGTGTCTCTTTTTCTTCAAAGTATCTGTTCATTTCATCATGTGTCATAAGATCAGTTCTCATAAACTGTTTATAGATTCTACGCATGCATGAATCTTAACATGTATTTCTATCCTTTCTATACTAGAGGGAGAAACAAAACAAAGCAAGACAAAACAAAACATATTCCTATAAACACATGAAATGAAAAAGACATATAAGACCGTTGTACAAGGAGTTCTACCATAGTTCCTGTGTTGTCTCTTGTTATCTTCAATAGAATTGGCTATATCAATGGACATAGTATAACTGAATATATCAGTACATACAGTATTAATAAAAACACAACTTTGTATATCGTATAAAACTTCAAAAGCAGGCAGTTATCAAACCAGAATGTATATCATAGTCTTGTCATCTTCAGTGTAGTTGCCTATACTCTCAGACTTGATACTATCAATCATATCAGTTTTGAATAAAATCTGTTAATACCAAACAGCAATCAAACAAACCAGACTTAACTAAGATCAGTCATGATAAAACAGTGTAAGTCATACAGGGCTCCAGATTAAGATAATAGGAAATTAAAGATGATTACTGTGCTATATCCTGATGTTTTTGGGATAGCTGTCTGTGCCCTCAAATCTAATGTAAGTAGACAAACTGGGACAGAATAAAATCTATCAAAAAAAAAAAGAATAAAATCTATCTAAGCAGAGTGGTGTGAGTAATGTGGGTTTTAAATCCTGATACACTATTAACAATACCTTCTGCCATATTTTTTTAAGACTTTCCCTCCCCTTTCACTTCCCCAGGGTACACTATGCATTTTTTTTTTTTTTTTAATTTGTACTAGGGATCAAACTCACGACTGCCTGCTTGCAAGGCAGGCGCTTATGCCGCTGAGCTAAATCCCCAGCCCCTATACTGTGCATTTTTGGGTCTGACCAAGACTCTTGGTTTTAAATTGGGGGCAGCAACCTGCTATTTACCTAAGTCGTTCTGAACCTTCTCTCCCCTGGACTTGATCTCTAATTGTATTCCTTTACCTATTAAAGCCTGTCTTTTCAACCTATCCACAAATACAGGTCTAGCTGCTGCTATTACTCTCTGGTTCTCTGTCATATAGAGCATTGTTTTCTCATATTTGATTTTCATGTTTAATTATGTTTCCTATAAATAGCATCTTGGTTGACCCTGCCTCCTGATCTAATCCACGCGTGGTTCCTTTTTTTGTTTGTTTAATTTAGTGTATCCAGGCCATCTATATTAGAGATTATAAGCAACTTTCTCTGCCTCATTTCTGTTATGCTCTTTTTTTGGCATCAGTTATCTGCTTATCTTCTTCATTCTGTTTTCTGCTCCATTCATTGAGGCCTCTCTACTGTTTCTGGACTCCTAGTACTTTTCTCTCTAGAATGCCCTGTAGTATTCTCTGTAGAGTTTGCATGGTGGTTGCGAATTTCCCAAGTTCCTCTTTGTCTTGGAAGCATCTTGTTTCTCCATTAATTTCTAGAGGCAGTTTATCATGGTATATCAATCTGGGTTGGAGGTTATTTTCTTTCAGGGCTTAGAATATTTCACTCCAGGCTCTTCTTGACTTGATGGCTTGTGTCGAGAAGTCTGCTGTGATTCTGATGGGCCTTCCTTTATAGGTGATCTGTTTCTTGTCTCTAACAGCTTTTTTTTATATTGTTCATATATTGAATTTCTGGGCTCTTGATTATTATATGCCTGGGTGTAGCTCTGTTTTGCTTGTAGGTGGCTGGAGTTCTGTATGCCTCATATCTCTGAATATTATTTCCTTTTCCTGTGTTTGGGAACTTTTCCTTAATTATTTATGGGAATGGCCTTTGTAGTTCCTTTGTTTGTACCCCAGCATCTTCATTCACATCCTTTTTTCTCAAGCTATAGATTCTCTTGTTGTCTTCTAGCCTTTATATTGTTACTGCTTGTTTCCTTGTTATTTTTAAAAAGTTTTTCCTTTTATAATCCCTCATTGCAAAACTGTTCTCCAGTTTGGATAATCTATCCTTAGTTTCTTTCAAGAGATTTGCCATCTTTCCAGAGTTTTTAATTTCCTGGTGGTCTCTTTGAATCTGCCTCATGTGTTCTACATTTTCTTTATATTCTTCATCAAACTCCTTTGTTTGAGTTCCTCCCTTCTTCCGTCTGTGTCTTCTTGAGGGGTGCTTAGCATCTCTTTTATTAATCTTCTTATATGTTGCTTTACTTGGCTAAATATTTCACTTTTGAACTCATCTATGAGGTCCCAAAGATATCTCTTTATGTCCACTGGTGCCATGTCTGATACTGCATGTTTGCTGTTCTCATTCTCCTTTGTATTTACCTGTCCTGGGTCAATGTTCTCAGGGTTGGGACCTGGGAACTTTATGTTGTTGCTTCCTCTTCCTATCTTTTTTGTTTTTTCTAGGAGGCCCCAGTTTCTTTCTTTGTTGGTTACAATTCTTCTGAGGCATGCTGGCTAGGTGACTTTCCCACTGCAGTGTGCTAGTGAGTTGCAAACAGGGGCTGCGTATGCTGGCCCCTTCTCTCTGGATCAGTCAAGCTACTGAGGCCTGCAGTGTATTACTGTGCGCCACCTCCTCTCCGGGTCGGTCAAACTTCTGAGGCTTCACTGCATTAATCTGCACCACCACCATAGGGAATTGATTTTGGATAATCTATTGGGTCTCAGCCAGGTTGCATAACCCAGGCCTAGCTCATTCCACCAATCCCGTCTGGGAAAGGAACAACTGACTGAAGTCACTGCTGCCTCTTGTACTTGCGAGTCCTGTCCGGTTCCAGAATGTCATCCACTGGAGCCCCCCTTTCTGTGGAATGGCTCCACTCCCATCACTCACCACAGGTCAATGCAGGCTCCCTGCCTGCTCAGCTCTCCATTTGGCTGGCCGACCCCCGACCTCAGTGTGACTGTGCCTCCAGTGGGTCCAACCGGTGGGACCTTGGACGGCTCAGCAAGTCGCCTGCTGCAGTGGGAGCAATGAACCTTTAGCTGTTCCAATAATAGCACTGAGATTGTATGTTTGATTGGTTCTTCTCACCTTAGTTTCTTCTTGGGAAGAGAGAATTCTTCTCCCTCTGTTCGGGACTCCCCATGCGGTATTATGTTGAATTCTAAGTTGACTATCTCAGGGAGCCTCTGTAGCCAGCTGTTTTCTTTTTCCTTTTTATTGGTACCGGGGATCAAACTCATGACTGCCTGCTTGCAAGGCAGGCGCTTATGCCGCTGAGCTAAATCCCCAGCCCCACCAGCTGTTTTCTATCTGCCATCTTTGAGCCGTGACCCCAAGCAATTGTTTGTATTTTTATTATGTGTTTTTTAAGATTCAGTGATTCTAAGAGTAATCTTTAAAACCTCAGTTGGTCCAAGTTATCTCACAGGTGTAAACAATTCTCCTCTTTTCTTCTTCCCTTCCTCCCTACCCCCCTTTTAAAAAGAATACTAAAGATTGGATCCAGGGCTTTCACACTGGGTTACTACCACAGTTCTTTTTTATTTTTTACTTTGAGACAGTCTTGTGAAGTCACTAAATTGTCCAGTCTGGACTCAAACTTGTGATGGTTCTGCCTCAGCCTCCTGGAGTACAAGGATCACAAGTGAGCACCACCATGCTAAGCCACAAACTGTTTTATAAAAGCAAATGGTTTGCAGTTAAAAATAATTTTGTGTGATACAACACTTTTAAAAGAAGACACAGAGAAGGAAAACCCTGTGATATACAGGTTTGGATGCTTTTCTTGCCCATGGTCAACTGTCTCCCATTTCTCCTGCAC